ATCAAATTATCTTCTCTTCAAACTACGCACACAGAGACACACATACAAGTAATGATAAAGCTTGGGAAAATAATAAACTAAAGTTGGCAGTATTTATAATGTTCATATTTTTAAAGGACGTTAATGCATGGTGAGGCCTTGATTTCCCAGTAAATCAACAGAACACATTCAACTTTAATGAAATCTTGATTAAACTTAAAAAGGGACAATAATTCATCCTTTTATTGTTTGAAGTTTTCAAAAGAAAATTAAATCGCAAGCTTGTCAATGATCGTGCATTCCATCTTGACCAGATGTAGCTTAGAGAGTCACATACTTTGAAAGAATTAGCAGCATTGGAAGCGGCTGCTTTTGTGCTACTACAAATTGGATTTTTCTTTTTCCCTTGAGAAGCTACACTGAACAATAGAATACTTTTAACAAGAGATTACGGAAGACCAAGGCCATACTTTTGAAAATCCAAGTGCATGAAGAATAGGGATAGATGTTTGGCACTGTGAATCAATTATCAGTGAAATCTGTCATGCCATTCAGAAGGCCCTAAAGTCAAAGCTTCTCTCCCCACACAGTCACTCTGAGTTGGCCTTGCACATCTACAGAGGACTTAATTTGTTCAAAGCAGAATTTTCTAACAGATATTGTGAAAATTAGTAGACTCTCAGAGCTAACCTTACTTGTATTCTCTTTGTAAGCAAGGGACCAGGGTTCAGAGGAAAGGTGGGGCCAATTTCAATGTAATATATAATATTCATGATCTATTATTGATAATATTAAATTCAGCATAATTCAAAATAGTGTCACACAAATCAGAGAAAATCTGTAGAAATATAATCAAAATTTTAAAATTTATCTGTCCAAATGGATATTGTTAGTCATGAAAAATTTGACTGTATTCAGCTGGAGAAATGGCTCCACAGTGAAGACTGTGCCCTGCTCCTGCAGAGGAAATGGACTGTTCCCAATAACCACATCTCATGGTTGACAACTCCATGTAACTTATCTTCAGGGGTCTCTGATTTCTTCTGGCTCCTAGAACACCTCATTCACATTCACTTACACACACACACACACACACACACACACACACACACACACACACACTTTTCAATTATTTTAAATATTTGAACTTATTTTGAAAATATAATTTACTTTGTAATTATGAAATAGTATTTAGCTATGCACAAATAGTTTCAGTTAAAGAACTTTTAACCTTGATGTCTTAATATTGAAATATTGTGACATGTGCTATTAATTGCATTTTGAAGATTATAATAACTGTAAGAGAAATATTTTCCAAAAATCCCCTGAACATTAATTAGTAAGGCTGAGTTCTATAAATATTTTTCAGTATACTGCTATTATCTAAGTGAATAATATATTTAGCCATCTGGAGAAATAATTCCTGAAGATGAATAATGTTCTGGAGAATGTGGGTTTGTTTGCTTTTTCTACCATAAAATAGATATGACTTGTGTATTTGATTTTAAGAATTATGGCATCAAGAAAATACAAATGAGCAATAGCCACCAAGACTAGAGGAAGGACATAGCCACCAACATCAGCATAAAATACATTTCCATAGAGGAACTTTTACGTATTCTAATATGCTATCTTTACCCACTTTTAACCAAAATTGTTACTTTAACAGCATCTGCCTCACTAAACTCTTTACAAATTGGGAGAGGGAATGATCTGTAGATGGAGATTGGTTGATTTTATGGAAATAAAATGGAAGTATCAGGGAGGATCTTAGGCAAGATGCTCTAATCTGTATTAAAGAAAATATAGCTGAGTTACCAAGGTTCTGAAATTGCCTGCATACTTGCTTTCCTGTTTGCTTTGGTGCTTTATATACGTTCTTACACATTCTTTTGCATTTTAGGTATTTTCAGTAAAATTTCAGAAAAAAATCTTGTAATGTGGCAATTTCTCTTACTTTCTTGGGATTTTGTTTCAAAAGGAATTTGGAGGGTGCATTTGAGGAGATGATAAGACTGTGGGTCAGTTCTCTACCTGTTTAAATTTCTGGACACAGATTGGATTCAAAGACTGTACATTGTGACAGTACGGTCACACTGTCTCCCAAGAGTGCATTATTAGATCTGGATTCCTGTGGCTGACCTTTGTGTTTTGAGTTTTGGCATTAGACATTCAAGTCAAGACTGGAACTAACAGAAGTGTACAGAAGTGCTTATATACACTTCCTGTATTGTGACACCCCAATACATAATGGATACCAAGCTTATGTTTTGCTAATGTGTTATAATATCATTTCTTGGTTCTGAGTAAATCTTAAAAGTTCCTCATCTGCTCATGTACTTTATATACTTTGGTCATTTGTAGATGAACACATTTTTATTAAAATGGTTAGATTTCTATTATGCCTCATTTAGAAAAATTTTCAAATGTGTCAACTGGGAATTTTAAAGCATTGTCATAAGGATAGCAATATGCCAGAGCTTAGCAATTTTGTTCTGTGCATAATTGTAAACTGTAGATGTGCCCTTCCCTATTCTATCATAATTGTTAAGGTATCTCATAAAATTAAGGCAAAGTAGCAGCATAGCAAGCAAGTAAAACTTTAACAAAAATAATTATGTGTTTTCTGTTGCTTGTTGTGAAATAGAGTCAAGGCAATTGCAAAGTTTGAACATTAGTGAATGGATCCTAAATAAACATCATGATTCATTCTATACAATATTACTATAAAAGTCATCAATATTCAAAGAAAAATACAATGTCCCCCCTCTCTGATGACTTGTATAATATCTTAAATATTCATGAATGGTATCAATTCAGGCTATCTATGTGAATATAAATTTCCATATAACTGGCCACTTGGTGTTCATTGGATCATGCTTTTGAATATGAATTTTTCAATATCCCAGATGTACCATGAATCTGGCCCAGCTCATGAATATTCACACACACACACACACACACACACACACTCTCTCTCTCTCTCTCTCACACACACACACACACACACACACACACACACACACACCTCTAATCTTTCTGAGAGTAATCACATACATAAAGATGAAAATCTCATTAGTTTTCATAATGAGAGCTGCATCAGGATGCTGGTCCCAGGGTGGCTTCATCATTCCTTTGTGCTTGGTGTTTTCTTTAAAAAGAAAACAAACAAAAGAGAAACTAAAGAATAAACAAACATACTAGGTAACTTTCTTTTTTTACAGGTTCATGTCCCTTCTTATTGGGGAATTTCTTTTATTGAAAACAGATGTATTTTTCATACAATGTATTCTGATTCTGGTTTTCCCCCCCTCTCTCTCCTCAATTTCTCCCCACCTTCCCTCCCATCTGGGATCTACCCCTATTCTCTCTCTCCTTAGAAAACTAACAGGCATCTGGGATAATAACAAAATTTAATTAGATTTTAAAACACAAATCAAAATAGGTCAAAGCAAACAGAAGAGAAAAGCAGGTGAAAAGGCAAACGCTCATTTCATTTTAGCTGCGTACAGCCTGTACATTATTTACTTGAGACTGCATTTGTTTTTTCCTGTGGTCAGAGAGAAGAACAGAAGAGAAAACAATTACAGGAATTAGAGAATACTTTGAGGTGAATGAATTAATGGTACAGACTATTAAGCTGTTGGGGCTCAGCTAACTCAGTGATTAAAGGAAGCTTCATTGCTATAAGTGTGCATGTTCAGAAGAGTTAAGGGCTCGCACCAATTAGAATCACTTTAATCTTGAGAACACATATAATTAAAGCATTGTCTTGTAGTTGAGGCTTAAGTAGCTATTCTCATATGTGTATTGACCCCAGCCTTATTTTGCTGATCTGCTGGAAACTTGGTTCATGCTTTACATTGTAAGACAGAAAACACATGAATTTTCTATCCCGCCTTTTGTGCAATGGAAAATTATATTCCTTCTAGTCATTTTTTAGATGACTTAGATATCCCAGGCTGGCCTCTAAGGATGACTTTAAAACTCATGTTCTTACATTCATAGCACAAATGCTGTGACTATAGGTGTGTGCTAACACATATAGTTTCCACCATGCTCAGAATCACAGCAAAGACCTTGAATGTGCTATGCAAGGTACTAAATATAGCTGCAACCACAGACTCTCAGGGAAATTTAACTATGCTATAGCTATGTTATGATTGTGGAATCACATTATTTAAATATTATTTAACTCATGCTCTATCAAGAATTCTTTTTCTTGATGCTCTTCCAAAATAGTCAATGATATGTTTTTAGAGTACCTATCCAGATCTCCAAGTAGTTATAATTCAGTATCTAAGTTAGTCACATGGGCTTATTACCAACATGCTGTAGTTACTAACTGAATGACGAGAAAAAATAAATTATTGCTTTGAATGGCATTGACTCACTAGTCTCCAATTTCTAACAGTGACATTATCAAATGTCCCAGTGAATTTTTCCTGTACCAAACAGTATGTATATTTTTGGCGTTGTATAAACACAGCTGATAAAGGTGCTCAATGATAATCATGTTTTGTTGTTTTATAAATCTGATACCCAGGTAAGTGACATGAGTATACAACTAGAATCAGTAGAACTTGAGGGTTGCACTGTTAAACTCTATTGTAAACCTCCTTGGAGAAAGCCAAGAAATATTAACCAACTTTCTTTACTTTCTGTGTCTAGGGAGCTCTTGATACTTTGTGCCTGTGAGTAATATTATACCAAAGAAGTGTTTAAGGAAGTCTGAAGTCACTTTTTCTTTTCACAGTTCAGGGGCATGGCACTACCTAATAGCACAGGTGTAAGATGCTACTGAATATTCTACAATGTGTGGGATTTCTGGACTTTTACACAATCTAAATGTCAATCAGACTACCATCATACATTATTGAAAGCCTAGTTCTATGCTTAAAGCCTTTCAATTTCCAGTAAATTACAGTATTTTATAGCAGACAATAAGAACATGTAATATGAGTTAGAAAAATACTAATATTCATGTGAATAAATTTATTGTTTTTTCTTGTTTATGTTAGCAACCATAGTGTTAAATGAACTCAACTGGACAAGTGCCTTAGATGAAGTTTTCAAAAGAAATCGAGATGAAGACCCTACATTGCTGTGGCAGGTGTTCGGCAGTGCTACTGGTCTGGCCCGGTATTATCCAGGTAAGTGTTTGGTGCTTAGGCAAATATGGAAAGAAGCTGAAGATACTAGCCTCAGTGATATCTGTTAAATGCTCTTTTGTACAGTGCCTTTACTGGTGGTGTGGCTACAGATAAATTTGCCAGCAGATGACACACAAATCCATGTACATATGTGCAGCATTAATACTACCTAGTGGGTTAACAATAAATAAATAAATAAATAAATAAATAAATAAATAAATAAATATGGTAAAGGGATTGATAGGTGTTCTGAGGGGAGACATGATTAGGATATAGTCAAGTACCTAGTATACATGTTTGAAAATGCCCCAAAAAACCCACAAAATTGTCATTATGAAAAAGAATGTAATATTGCACTAACTTGATCATAATTAAAGTGAAGTACCCGAGAAGTAATTAGGAGCAGTACTAGAAACCTGGTCACACTGCAATGCCAGCTTGAGCAGGGATACTTGGGCACGAATCTGAGAAGGAAGTTTTTAGAGGAAGCCTGCCAAAGAACAAGCCATGGTTCCAGTCCAGCTGCACAGCACAAATAGACAAACTGTATTGAAAGGGTTCTTTCCAAGAATCAGGGCTACAGTAGAAGCTTATGTTTTAAAAGTGCTTTCCCGTTAGCCAAGGGGTGTGCATTTGTTAAAATAAAAGGGTTATGAAATAAGACAACTCTCTTCTTCTGTGTCATGTGGCAACCAATTCTAGCCATATATTCATATGCATGGAGATATTTTACAAATTGAAATAAGCATTTTTGTAATGTCCTTTATTGCTATAAGGAATTGTATGAGAGATAAATACTACCTTACAACACAAAAGTAAAAATTAATTAGTGGTCACCCCTGAGCCCTTCTGGGAAGTCTTAAGTGAAATGGAATTCGTTTTGAAGGTTTGCCACAGTTAGCCTCACCATAGTCTTACAAATGCAGCATGTGTTCTTTCTCTCAAAGGCCTGACAAGGGAAACTAGCTTTCAGTGGACAAAACAGGACTTTGGCTGGGTTTTTTTGTTTGTTTTGTTTGTTTTACTATTTAAATTTACTCAATGAGCTGGCATCTGAATTTATCATAGTGAAACATCAGAAAAAAATAAAATAAAATTTTAGTTTTACCTTGCATTGAATAGTAACAGAAACAACTGTATTTAGGCATCATAATTAGGTGAGATATTCATAACATCTATGTGATTGCAAATGGCAAGTGGGTCATACGAATTACTTTTTATAGAGATCTGATACATTAACATAGGCCAAGTTTTATTATTATTTATTTATTTATTTATTTATTTATTTATTTATTTATTAGTTCTAGTTAGGGAACAAGCTTGTTTCACATGTAAGCCCCTTCTTCCTCTCCCTCCTCTCACCCCCATCCCTCTTCCCCCACCCCCAACCTACCCCCCACCCCATCCACTCACCACTCCCCAGGCAGGGTAGGGCCCTCAACGGGGGCTCTGCAAAGTCCACCAAATCTTAGCATAGGCCAAGTTTAAATTGGAAAGGAATCACAGTAATACCTTATATTATAATAATTGTGGGAATTGCTCCTTGTAGAAACTTTATAAAATGTAACACAATACTTCTAAAACTCTTGTTAACTGTTAAACATTATTCATAAGGAGATTGAAGTAGAAAGGAAAAAACTATAGCACTAATGTACATAATAAACCGGGTACAGTAAGCTTTATATCAGTTCTTATAAAATGTTGTCTGGTACAATTTTAAAAATCTGGAAACCAAATACCTAACACCCCTCTAGTAGTCTACAAATAAATTAGTCATTAACTAATAACATCATATAGATTTTGAATCTGGCAAAAATATTTACGTCATTTAAATTTTCATAAGTGAGGGAAAGGAAAAAGGCATGCAGTGATTGAAAATTAGTATATTCTTGAAAGCAAAGGACCAAGGCTAGAGAGAAAGACAAAGTGGGGTGAGAGGGAAATAGTGTTAGAAGAGAAAGTATGTACGTCAAAAAGAGAAGCTAGCAAAATAGATGGTCAAAGGGCTGTTATACAAATGAACTACTTATTAAATCTAGCATTGAATTCTTAAATGTGTTACTTTCATTCTATGATTCTTTTCTCCTGAATGCTAACTAAAGAGTTGATTACTTTTTTTTTTTTACTTTTAATACTAATCAGACATTTTAGAGTGTCTTGACATTTGTTCAGATTAGCTTGGAAAAAGTCTTTACATCTTTAATCTAGCCAGATCCTGGCGATCCTCTCAAAACACCAGCTGTGGAAGCCAGCCAGAGCCAAACCACAAAACCTCATTTGTAAATGGGGTTTGGCAGGCACACTGACTCAGCAGAAGACTGCCATGCTGAACTCTGTTACCTGTTGGATCGGTTAAAATGGTCCATACAGAGTACCCTTCATGCAATTTCTTTTCTAGTGATTTCAGTGCTGAGGTGGTCTTTATAAGTGTAATGATGTCATAGCAGCAGGCTTCTTAACCAAGGAGTAAGATAGGGTCATCATTAGGAATTAACTTGTTATACATGTCTCAATTGACTGTTTTTCTCTGATAATTCTGTCTAACTAGAACAGACAGGCTCATCTCTGTAAATTCAATTTACTAATGAGTAGAAACATATTATCACATATGCTGCTTTGTGGTATGTGTATGTGTAATATATGCACATGTGTGCTGATACAGTCCCCTGTGCTTGCTTGTTTCGAGACTAGAAGTCAGCATTGATGCCTTCCTCAGTCACTTGCCACCTTGTTTCTTGAGACAGAGTGTCACTGAATTTGCAGCTCACCCTTTAGACTAGGTGACTAGCCAATAAGCTTGTCCTGTCTCCGGCTACCTCTCCATTCTAATGCCTGAAAACATGGGTATGGCTTGGACACGGGTCCTGGGGATCCCAAACCAAGCCCACGTGCTTGTGCAGCAAGCATTTAACCACTGAACCATCTTCCCACCTTAAAATATCTTAGCTAGGTTTCTCTTACATGAAGTTAATCCTCCTGCAGGAGCACCAGAGCCACAGGTAAGTCCTTTGAGCTTTGTGGGTCCTGATCTACATATGCAAAGAAAGAACATGCCAATTATTGCAAAGTTAAGAGGTTATGGTGGATCACTGAGATAAACCGAAATTGAAAGTACTTCAGAGTACAAAATAGCATGGACCACAGAGGTGGTTCACTGGTCAAGAGCCCTGGATGCTCCTCCAGAGGACCTAATTTTGAGTCCTAGCACCCACATCCAATACCTCTTCCGACCTCCATGGGTGCAAGGTAAGCAAGTAAAGTAGCCATTATATATTAAAAAACAAACTGTAAATACAAAAGAACAAGCATTTCTACAGTAGTGTGCTTCCACTATGCATAGTCAGCACTCACTTGATCTAAGACATTAAAGAGAATAAATGAACTCACAGTTGGCTGATAAAGAAGCAAAATAAAAAATGGAGAAGGAAATCTAAACGTGCCTGAGTCATAATGCCAGCTAGTCACACCACATTGGATTGGCCTATAACTATTTCTTCATTTCTCTGTAGGGTTGCCAGGAAAAAAAAATAACTTCTAGTTAAGTTCCCAGTGTCTCTACAGCCAAGGCACCCACTATTTTACAGGATTATCGAGTAACAAACAAAATCTATTTTTTGGAGTTTTCTAAATATAGACTTTTCCTGTAACGCTGTAAGGAAAACTACCTATATTTTCTTTTCTCCTGGGAATTCCTGTCATGGAGTTAAAAAGTAAATTGTTTTTTTCAGAAATTTTATTTTCTGAATCACAAAAACTGTTAAAAATGCTCATTTTCATTGTTCAAATTCTATTTAAGCAGGTCCACCCAAAGTGGTATTTAGCCAACATGGGTTCCTGAGCCAGGTAGCCCCTCACCTCAGACACTGGATGAAGTAATGTCTTTCATTGATGACCCCGGCAGTCAAACCAAGAGAATGATGGCAGTTAAATTCAGAGAATGATATCCATTAATATTCTTAGCATCTTGCCCAGATATTAGAGAAATAGGATGGTTAGACACACACATGATTGTCACTTGGCCCTCTGAGGAGAGGATTCTCAAAAAGTAGTTTGTTTGGTAACTTGTTGTCTGAACTTCAATATCTACCCTAACTTTAAATGTCAGCAGGCTTTCTCATCTACCAGATATGCATAAAAAGAAACTGTGAAAATCAATGCTTTCTGTCCTTTCTCTGTTTCCTATCTTTGTCATCCTTTTCCTCTACACCTTCCCTCCTCTTTTATTTGGAAGGTAGGTAGATTTCTATGCTATAATAGAAGGAAAATTATCCTGGGAGAGATTTTGATAGGATTCCTTAGTTGATAGGAACGTCATCTTACCCTTTGACTGTGTCATACTATAATTTTGCCTATTAGCTCATTGCCAACTTGAAATTTTTGAACAAGATGATCTCCAAAGTCCTCCCCAATGCTCCACCTTTGTGTCTGCGTGTTAGCTTCTGCTTCGTCCACAGCCTTCTTCTTCTTCTTTTTTTTTAAATTAGAAACAGGATTGTTTTACATGTCAATCCCAATTCCCTCTCCCTCTCCTCCTCCCCTACCACTCCCGATAACTAAAACCCTACCTATCACATATCCTTTGTGCTCCCCTGGATGGTGAGGCCTTTCATAGGGGGCCATCAGAGTCTATAGTATCCTTTGGGATAGGGCCTAGGCCCATCCCAATGTGTCTTGGCTCAGGGAGTATTCCTCTTTGTGGAATGGGCTCCCAAAGTCCACACCTATGCTAGGGATAAGTACTGAACTACTATAGGAGGTCCTGTAGATTTCCGAAGTTTCCTCCCTGAAACCCATGTTCCTGGGGTCTGAATCAGTCCCATGCTGGTATCCCAGCTAATAGTCTGGGGAGCAAGAGTTCCCAGATGTTCAGGTCAGCTGTGTCTGTGGGTTTCAGCAGCCTTGTCTGGACCCCTTTGCTCATCACTCATCCTTCTTTGCAACTGGATTCCAGTTCAATTCAGCCATAGCCTTCTTTTACACAATACTTAGAGCTAATTCCC